GTACCAGCCCACGAGATATTATCCGGTTATTACCGGACACCCTGTATAATAAGAGTATATAATACAATAAGTAGTACTCACATTTTTATATTATCTGATCGTTTTAGACGACCGTATGTATTTGTATTTTAAATTTATATGGTTAGACGGTTAAGATAACCAAATATTATTTTTAATTATGTATTATTAATTTTGCGCTTAACATTGAGAATGATCCTATTTGGATCGAAACATCTGTTTACTATATTTCAATTAAAGAGTTATATTTACTTGGGGCATATAACACCCTGCTTTGGCTCATAGCCATTTATTTCTTATTAATTTATTATTTATTGAGCTGAAAATTTCCATTTAGTTTATACTTTTTTGTTTCAAAAAATTGAAAATTATAAAGGGAAAAAATTTTAACATTACACTTTAAGATATTCTTCTTCTTTTGATGCATTCCGTTACCGGAGATTTATGATCACTTCAAACATTTCTCTTCTTTGTGCTGTTCTTAGTAGCTGCTGTACGTTCATACCAGTTCAAAGTCTAATGTTGCGTAGCCATGATATTATCTTTTTACTTATTCTTCTACAACCCTCTATTTTACCTTCAATTACACTAGTTTACAGTAAAAAATTACTTTGGACTGGACTACGTATCTCTTATAGATTTTTGGATGCTGAAAACAATACCGCAAGCGAAAAATTTTAGCACGTCAGATTTTTAAGATAATTGTGGTTTAATACTAAAAAAATAGCTTTTTTGCGATATTTGACATTTTTTTATACAGAAGGTTAACGTTATCTTAAAATTTCGATACGGAGTCATGAATGTATTGTTCATCCCCTATAAAATGCATTTTTTATATTTCAGATAAGATATTAATATCTTTTACTCTCACATAACTCCCTACATTCCTTTTTTTCTTCCTATATTCCGTCCCATCTTTTTTTCCACCACTTTCTTAGTTCTTTTCTCAACTCCTCTTCCTTTTTACACTTATTATTCCACCATTCCCCTCTTCTTTCTCCTTCCCGCTCATTCTCTGCTTCCTTTATTGCTTCCCTTAGAGTCTCCCTTCTAGTATATCCCATTCCTGCTCCAAATTTCCCACCTAAATCCACTTCACCCAACCTCTCTCTAAATCTCCTTCTGCCTTTCTGATCCAATACTTCTTTTCGATATCAACTTTTTCTTTTCCCACTCTCCCTCCACTCCTTTCAATCATACTTCCACAGGGTGATGATCCGATTCCATTCTATCCCCCACCCTCCATTCCACGCTTCCTCTTCTCCTTTTCTCCTAGTATGTATAATCTATTATACTTATTATATAGTAGTACATCCTTTCCTTTTATATAAAATATATTCTCGCTCTTCATCTCCTTTATACTCTCATTTAATTTACTCCAACCTCTTTCTTCTAAGAACTCTACTAACCTCCTTCCTTCTCTATTCATCTTTCCATTCTTCGACTGCCTTCTTCTTCCCTCCTCTCCTCCTACTCCTGCTTCTACGCCTCCCCTCTTCCTTCCTGTTCTCACATTAAAGTCTCTCCCTATCACTATTTTCACCCCCTCCTCCCTTCCCTTCATTCCTCCCATTATATCCTGCAGCGTCTTTTCAATTCCCTCTTCTGAATACACCCCTTCTACCCTCTATTTCTCCCTTCCCGTCTTTATCGCTTTCACTATCCTCTCTTCTCTTTCCACCTTTATTCTAACGTCCTTTTGTCCCTTATCTCTCTCCTTATTCCCATTATCATTTCTCCTATCGCCCTTACTTTTTTATTTCTTCTCTTCGCAAATTGTCTCTCCCATTCATATCTTTCAGACAACCTTTCTTTTATTTTCTTTCACCCCTTCTTCACTATTCATGTGTCCGATTACACCATCACCTCTCATCTCTTCAACCTCTTCCAGAATTCTGTTTCCTTTTTTTCTAATCCTGCCACATTCCAAAATGCTATACTCCAGCCTCCTCTCTTTCTTCCTTCCTTCTCGTTCTTTTTCTTCCTCTCTTCCTTTTTCTCTAATCCACACCTCTTCTTCCTCTCCTTCCCTCTGCTCCTTACCCTTCTTCACCCTCTTCTGTCCTCAAGCATCTCTTCCTCTTCATCCCATTTCCATCACTGCTTATCTATCCTTAGCCTCCCATATCCATACGAGGGCAACTCAATAACTTCTTAGAAAATCTGTCAGAGAGCGCTCGCAGTGTCAGGCCACATTACTTTTTGACAAGTAGCCTCTTTTAGCTAATTACTGTCAAATTTTGAGCTGAATTTATTGCGTAGTTTTATTTCTGTAAACGATTAAAGTGAACAACCTTTGTATTTTTTGCAAAATGGAAAAAAACGAGCTTCATGCAGTGATCAAACATCTACATATGAAAGGTTTAACGCCGAAAAAAATCAAAGCCGAGTTAGATAATGTTCATAGCATATCTGCACCAGCGTTTGCGACTGTTTACAATTGGGTGAATGAATTTAAACGTGGTCGTACATCCACATGAGATGCACCTCGTTCGGGACGTCCTATTGAGGCTGCTACGCCGGAAATCATTGATAAAATCCACGATATTGTTTTGACTGATCGACGAGTAAAAATGTGCAAGTTTGTTGAGGTCACAGGCATATCACATGGCACAGTGATTTTAATTTTGCACGAACAATTGGGTATGAAAAAGCTATCGGCAAGATGGGTGCCGCGTTTGCTCACTGTGGACCATAAGCGCGACCGTGTGACGATTTAAAAACAATGTTTGGAGATATTTTAACGTAATCTAGATGAATTTTTGCGTCAATTCATTACTGTGGATGAAACATGGATCCATTACTTCACACCTGAGACGAAAGAATAGTCAAAACAATGGATTTCACCGGATGAACCAGCTCCGAAGAAAGCGAAGACCGTAAAGTCGATGATGGCCACAGTTTTTTGGGATGCACGCGGTATAATTCATATCGTCCGTCGAAGCAAACGATAAATGACGATTACTACGCAGACTGTACTTATTACTTATTGGACCGTTTCACCAACATTTTATAGAAAAAACGTCCCCATTTGGCGAAGAAGAAAGTGCTTTTCCGTCAAGACAATGCACGGGTTCACACGTTCCCGGCACAAATGGTCAAATTCAATGAATTCTGCTATGAATTGCTTCCCCATTCAGCATATTCGCCTGGTTTAGCCCCTTACGACTATTTCCTGTTTCCAAACCTGAAGAAATGGTTTGGAGGAAAAAGATTCACCACCAGAGAGTAGCTCATCGCCGAAACAGAGGCTTATTTTGAAGGGTCAACAAATTATATTATTCGTACGATTTGAAAAAGTTGGAGAATCGTTGGATCAAGTTTATTGAGCTGAAAGGAGACTTTGTTGAGAAATAAAAATGAATCGATTAAAAAAATGTGTTTTACTATGTTTTTCTAAAAACTTATTGACTTGCCCTCGTACTTCGGAAATATTTTCTTCTTTAGAATAATGCATTTTAAATACATATAAAAAAATATAAATTTATATATTTTCAAAGTACCCGGTAAAAAAGGCAGAGTGATGGAACGTCGACTCCAGAAGGATTTCCAGATTGGTATCGTAGAAGGTATCGTGCAGGCTGTTATTCAGAGCGAGAAGGAGCCGAAGGATGTATTTAGTCAGATTGCAAAAGCGATCGGACGGAAAGGGAGTGGCGCTGGTAAAAAAGATTGGAACGCTGTAGTTAGGCAAAGCACCATCGCTAAAGATCCTATCGGAAGTACAAACGAAGCAGTGCAACGTCAAACCCGACGTAGTCTACGTCGCCACCTGCGACATCAGCCGAACTCCGACCTAGCATCCATGGATCCAAAACGACTGGTTGAATATAATCCAAATCTCTCGGATTTCACTCCAACTACTAGAATAGCTTATGCTAAGTTTATGCTAAGCAAAAGTAAGCTGGACGAGCAGACTGAAGGTAAATTTGCATTTAAATTTTTTATTGGCAATGGTGTTATCTGATATTTTAATTCAAATTTTACTTGCAGAGATGTCAAAACAAATTTTATGTAGTATCCTAATCAATCTGTGTTTGATTTACGAACTTTTATCAAAAGAGAGCTTGCGATTTGGGCTCTATTTTTGCTTCCCCCCTCTGAGTTCAAATAAAATCAGGAGGAAAATATACCTCTATATGTGCATCATAATTCTCCAAAAGGATGATCTTAAACTTTATCGTTTATAAATTATTATATTCAAAATTTGAACGATTTACAAGAAATTTGACACTTTTAATAATTGAGGTTTTTTTGATAATGTTTCTTAAGAGGTTGCTGAAAGGTGGGAAAAATTTGCACGAGGTCGATAAAACAGATTTTTCAATGTCAATGGTATTTCTAAATGAACTTCTTACAATATCTCCTGTCTTACTCAAACACGTGCATTGTCTTTATTTATCTTATTGAAACGCCATCTCTTGGAAAATCCGACACTTACTACTAGACGCTTTGTTTACCATTCCTATCTAAGCTAAGCCTCCGAATTACCATAAATTGCAGTTCAGTGGATTTCTTTTTTTCTACGCTTTCAATCCTAGCTCAAAAGACTTTGTATTATTTGTTCATATAATCTGTGGTGTTAGACGTAAGCATTTTTACATATGAACTACAGAACTTTTACAATAATAAAATGTTTACGTCATGTGTCAGCTGTATGGCCCAAAAATTGTAATTTTTTAATTTTTCCGATTTTACTACAAATTCGACCGTCTAACATCACAATTTCATGTTTAATTCAACTCTGTAAAAGGATTTTAAATTCCGTTCAGCCAATTTGGAGAAATTTACTGAACTGCAATGTGTCGATATTTCTGACTTTTCAGCATCCTCTTAAGGCGATCCTAAACTAGAATCAAACTCCAAAAATGTCGCTGTTTTATCGACGATTTGTGAGTATGTATGCGTGCGATATTGATGTAGTAGTATGTAGTGATGTGTTCATGTTGACTACCATATCGATATCGCGTACACACATCGCAACCAATTTTCAAGCATAAATGTTGTTTATTACGCTTCCAAATCTAATTTTATCAACTTAACATCGTTTATACATGTAATTTGCAGCTCATGCTGGTATCATTTTGTACCAACAAACTGCCAAATTTTTTAAGGAAGTAAATATTGATACAAGTTGTATCAATATTTACTATAGTAAACTTACTATAGTAAATAAATATTGATACAAGTTGATAGCTCTACACAAACTTTTTTTCGTTCTTAGTATAACACTATCAGCCAGAGCTACATTGATGCCTAACTTTAATCGTGGAGAAGGATTTTTTAATCTGTTGTCTTTAATTATGTTTATTTTATGCTGAAAAATAATCACATTCGGTCGATGAAATAGATGACTTTAGGATTACTTTAAGTTGCCACTTTATCCAACTTTCTCAAAACTTTGTCTAGGGTATCACTTAGAATATATCAAGAGATGAAAGCGATGCAGGCGTATGTGTACTGTCATTCAGCGTGTTGAATCCATAGATGTGCTAACTTCTTAATCATCAATACTGGTTCAAGACTATTTAAAGAGCATGTAGATTCGAAATGATGATTATTTCATGATTCCAGATAAGTAAACAAGAAAGAGAATAATGAGTTCAATATTGACTTATTAGGAAAAGAATAAGAGCGTTAAGAAAAGAACAAAGATAAAGCAGCAAAATGAATTAATTCCTAAGGTTTTGTTTTGACCGTGAACAAAGAAGAATAGAATAGAAAAAATGTATAATCCTCTCACCAAAATGTTATAAATCGCTGGAATTTGCATTATCCAATGTGCACCATGTGGAGATTGTTCGGCCGAATTTGCACATCTTGTGTATACGTGTGTGTGTAATCGCATACGTGTATGGCTGCACGTATGAGTGCGTGCACGCGCGCATTTGTGTTCACATAAGTACTACAAATAAGATGAGGCCTTATGATAACCCTATAGTTCGTCATTCCTACAGTAATTTGTGATTATAAATTCCTCTTTATCATCGATTTACCATATCCTTTTTTTTTTATTTCACCTTATTCACATTAATCTGGATCGGGTGAATCTCTGTTATTATTATCGGTAGAAATATCTTTGATATATGATGCAAAATGAGAACTTGGTTTCTCCCTCTATTTCTTTCTCTCTAAATGTCGGTAAATCTTCAAGATATCATAGATTAATGATGAAAAAGGGTGGAAAAGGATGGGTATCATAGATTAATAATGGAAAAGAGTTTGAAACTACAAAATACTGTAGAAGAGACAGGATCTGCATCTTGCAGTATTTCATGTAAAAGTACACGCACGTACGCACGTACACATGTACGCACACACACACACGCACGCATACACATGTGCAGCATGGATGCATACATATATGTATACAAGATGACACTTATACAAAATGTACAAATTCAATCGAACATTCTCCACGTGGTGCACATTGGGTAATGCAAATACCAGCTATTATCTTGGCAAAAGGATTAAACATTTTTTTTCTGTTCAATTTCTCTTCATTCACGTTCACAACAAAATCTTAAGGACCTATTTATTTCACACTGCTGCCTTCGTCCTTTTCTTAACGCTCTTCTTTTTTTCTAATAAGTCGGTTGAACTCCTCGACGTTCTCTCTTATTTATTTATCTATCTGGAATCATAAAACAATCGTCCACTTCGAATCTGTATGCTCTTTAAATATCTTGAATCAGTATAGACGCGTGTGAAGATAGCGCATTCCTGGATTCAACGCGTTGGATGACAGTGTGCACACGCCTGCATTCTTTCATCTCTTAATATATATTCTAAGTAATATCCTAGGCAAGTTATTAAGAAAGTTTGGTAAAATGGCAATTCCAAGAACATTGTCCAAAAAAATTTCAATCATCGAAAAGTGCTAAACGCCTGTAAATTGTTCAAATTCAAAATGTTAAAATAATTCATAAACGATGTAATTTGGGATCATATCCTTGGAAATTATAAGGCATATATGGGTATACATTTTCCCCCTAGTTTCATTTGTATTTGGGGAGGGGGGGGGGGCAAAAAAGACCCAAATCGCAACCTTTCCTTTAAATAAACTTTTTTATTATAAAAAATTTAACAAATTTGTACTTACGCGAGACAGGTAAATGACGGTCATAGCAGGATCTTGGAGCGCACTAAATTTTCATGTGTTTTTTATATACTTTTTTCTAGTTCTATACAACTAAATTTCTTTACAGTATTTTCACATCGCGTTGGAGGGAAGAAAGAATCTTACGAAATGCTTGTGAGCATAAGTAATATTATGTTGGTTATTAATTTAATACTGTGATATTACTATTTCTGATTTGATAAAATTATCGCTTGTATTTAATAAGAAACAAGTAATTTGAGTTATGGCCAATAAACAAGCAAATATTTTGATGTAGATATAAATGTATATATTTTCAATTATACAATAATTTATGACGAGACGTTTCGACTTAACTTGGCCCTCTTCAGTCGTTTTTAACTACATTACACA